AGAAAAGAATCAACTATTAACATCCCTAACCTCTCCCTCCCCGCCCCTCTTCGCTCAGGTCAGCTCCCCGCCCCGAGGCCTCCGCACTGACCCCGCCCACCTCAGTCAGGAAAGGAGAGACGCGCGAGGGAGAGACTGGAAAGGCTTCTTTCTGGTCACGTGCTCCGTCCCGGCGGAGTTCCGCCCACCGGTTGCTATAGACGCGCGGAGTGAGGGGTGGAGTCGAAGAAAGGAGAGCGGATTCCGGTGGGCGGGGGAGACTGGGCAAAGGGACCTGTCTCTTTAAGATGGGGGGGGGAGAAGGGGGCGGGTCCTTTGTCCACGCCTGGGATGAATCGAAGGGGGCGGGCCTACGCGTGTGACCCGCTCCGATTGTTGCGCCCTTTGCCCTAGTTGAGAGATTCCAAGCACAGGCGCTGGAATCCGAGCGGCCTCGCAAGGCACCAAGGCGCGCCCTCCGGAGGTCCCCGTCCCGTCCCGTCCCACCCGGGCCTGGGCCCCGCTATCTGCCCGGAGGTTTCCCCCCCATCCCTTTTTACTTCCTTCGGACCTGAACATGCTGGCCAACACGGGGTAAGCGGCGCCCTCGGTCTCTCGGTCCAGCCACATGCCGCCCTCTTTTTTTTCCATGGGGGTTCTCGGTGGAGAAGGAGGGTGAAGGGGCGGCCGGGCGGGGGCCGTTGAGCTTCATGGAGGCGCTCACCTCTTTATACCCCAGAAATCCCCCGGGGAGTAGATCCATTCCCACCCGAAGGGCTGCCGATCAGAGATCTGTGAAAAGCTTCCACCCGCCCCCATGGGAACCCTTCGTGCAAAACTTGGGCCCCCCTGACAGATGCCGGGGAGGGGGCTGGCTGGCGTTACCTCCTCCGTGGGAGAGAAGACGAGGGAGAGATGCTCTCTGTCTGTCCTGTGGCCCCAGTGGTGCTTGAGCTTCGCCCAGGCCCATTCCTGCAGCGCTGCGCCCGAGAGTGCAAACTTTTGAGACGTGCACGGATAGGCAGGTTTGCAGAGGGCATCGAGTAGTGTGGGGAGTGGGAAAGAAACTTCCCAAACTCAGTGGAGGGGCAACGAAATGGCAGACGAGGCTCACTAGAATGTCAGGCAACGTTTGCTGTGGTAACGACTCTTGCTCTGTGCGCACCTTTGTGGGCTGTGCACGCGTATACCGTGCCTGGGGGGCAAAGGGCATTTTGTGTGTGTGTGTGACAAGGTATTGGGAAAGGGATCAGGAATGCAAACAGCAAGTGTCGCGGTATCATCATTCTAAGAATACTTGTCCCTTTCACATAAAATATGTTGTTAGGCTAGGGCTGTCCAGATGATCAAGGGATTGGAGCAATTTATGTGATGGGGGAGGCCAGGCTGGGAAGGATGTAATAGATACTGTAAGATAAACGTTCTTAAAATTATAAATGGTATGGAAAGAGAAAAAAAAATCCTTTGCCATGCGATGGTACATGGACGCCTTGTGCTTAGCATTTAGAAAACTGTACCTGTATGTTATGTGTTTTCAAGTCATCCCTGACTTACGGTGACACCATGAATGAGTTATTTCCAAATTGTCCTCTCTTCAGTAGCCCTGCTCAACTCTTGCAAACTCAACTCTGTGCCTTCCTTTAGAGGAGTCAATTCATCTTGTATTTGGTCACCCTCTTTTCCTGCTGCCTTTCACCTTTCCTTAGCATGATTGTCTTTTCCAGAGAATCCTGCTTTCTTATGATGTGCCCAACTAGGACAACCAGGGTTTTAATATTTTTGCCTCCAAAGATAGTTCAAGCTTCATTTTATCTAGGACTCGCTTGTTTGTCTTTCTGACAGTCCAGGGTATCCACAAAGCAACCCTCCAGCACCATATTTCAAACCTGTATAAATACCTGTATAGCTGTTAATGCTGATGGCCTGCTTTTACAACATTCTTAATTATAGGAGCCCCTTTCTCAGTTGCTTTGAGTCCTTCCTATGTGAATAATTATCTAAGATAGTGCTCTTCAACTTGAAATTTTCCAGATATATTGGACTGCATCTTGTGATGTAGATGTTGAAGGGAGAAGTGTCTGCTCTGCCTGAGAGCCTGGAAAGCTGCTTTCATTCAAAATAGACAAACTACCATATTTTTCTTTGTAAGACGCCCCCACACATAAGATGCCCCCCTTCAAACCCAGAATTTCTTTGCAAGAAAGTGGAGGGGGGAAGTAGGGATTAAAGGGCTTTGATCCCTCCCCCTTCTTCCGTGTATAAAACAGCCCTAAATTTTTAATCTAAATATTTTAGAGAAAAGTATTGTCTTTATACACAGAAAAATACGGTAGTGGTGGGTGGACAAATAGTCTGAGTTGGCTTAAGCCTGTGTTCTTTGTTCAGCAAGACAGCTGCATAGATGACTGATGTCCAGCGTAGCTCTTGGAAAGTTCAGGGGACAATATTAATCTGTTGTGTTTTAAAACCATATCTCTTGGACGAAGTGTTGGTCCCAGCCACAGCATGTCTAAACAGATGTGACTTTAGTTTGCTTAGATGTGCGGTAGTATGATATACCAGTTTCTGTGCTGAAAGTGCACACAACAATCAGGGAAGAGTTGTGACCTTTTGGACCACTAACAATTCACCAAGTTGAATTGTCATAATCAAGCAATACTTTCCCACTCTTCCTTAGGTTTCATCATAAGTGGTGCAATCGCTTAAATTGTTTTTCTTACTTCCAACAAAATACTATATTTTTCTGCGTATAAAACAACACTTTTCCCTAAAATAATTAGAGGAAAAATTGAGAGTCGTTTTATACAAGGAAGGCAGCAGCAGGAGGCGGAGACTGAGGCAAAGAAGCAGCTGTGCTCAGCTGCCTCTTCCGGCTGCCCATTGACTGCTGCCACTGCCACCTGATCGCCTCCTGCTGCTGTCAGGGCTTACCTCCAGCTGTGTATGTTTTTGGTCTAGCCTCTGAGTGTTCTTTGTGAATTTTGTTGTATGTGTTTACGGTGTATATGCGTTCAATGACAATAAATTGTTTATGTTATGTTAACGAGAGGAAGCCGAGCCTGGCTGCTTCTTTGCCTCCATCTCTGCCTCCTGCTGTTGCCGCAGTCTCCTCCAGCATCACTCGTGGGCTCAGTAGCAGGAGGAGGAGGCGGAAATGGAGGCAAAGGAGCAGCCGTGCTCAGCTGTCTCTCGCTGCTGCCCATTGATTGCCCCTCTGCCTCCTGCAAGGGTAAAAATTAGGGGGTTGTCCTATACAAATGGGGGTGTCATCCTATACACAGAAAAATACGGCAGCTGGCCTAGATCAGAAGTGCCACTCGTGGAAATGTGCTAGATTCTATCAGAGTGCGTCTAGGCCACCCCACTGTGGGTGCTGTCACAGGGAGATCTAAGAGTCCAGCCAACAGACTCTTGACTCTCTCTCCCTAAATGTTGAGCTAGATAAACGTATTGGCAAAGCAGCTACCATGTTCTCTAGACTCACAAAGAGAGTATGGCTTAACAAGAAGTTGACGGCATACACCAAGATCCAGGTCTGTAGAGTCTGTGTCCTGAGCACACTCCTGTACTGCAGTGAGTCCTGGACCCTTTGTGCACGGCAGGAGGGGAAGCTGAACACCTTCCATATGCGTTGTCTCTGACGCATTTTTGGTATCACCTGGCAGGACAAAGTTCCAAATAGAGTAGTCCTAGAATGAGCTGGAATTTTTAGCATGTATACATTATTGAAACAGCGATGTCTACGTTGGCTTGGGCATGTCGTGAGAACGGCTGATGGTCAGATTCCAAAAGATCTCCTGCATGGTGAATAAGTGCAGGGAATGTGCCCCAGAGGGCGACCACAGGGGCGATACAAGGATATCTGCAAGCGGGATCTGAAGGCCTTAGGAATGGACCTCAGCAGATGGGAAACCTTGACGTCTGAGTGCTCAGCCTGGAGGCAGGCATTGCATCACAGCCTCTCCCAATTTGAAGAGACCCTTGTTCAGCAGGCTGAGGCAAAGAGGAAGTCCCGAAAGCAGCAAAACCAGGGAGCTGGACAGAGGCCAGATTGTATTTGTCTTCAGTGTGACGGGGATAGTCACTCTCGAATTGGCCTTCTCAGCCGCACTAGACACTGTTCCAAGTCCTCCATACAGAGCACATTACCGTAGTCCCTCGAGACTGAAGGATGCCTAATCAACTTCCTTTCCCAAAGGTTCCTTTTCTTTCCTGCCTTGAAGCACCTCTGGTTCCTATGCAACCATTGAAGTGTTTCCCAGAGAGGGCTTGACCTTCCATGGGTAGAAGGTGACATATGCCAAGTGTATCCTTCTCCATGACCAATGCCTCAAGGGGTTGTGGAAAGTGTTGAGGCTGGCCCTTGTTCTAGGTCACTGGCCACCCTCTCACAAAGTGTTAAGAAGATCTGTGCAGAAAAACCAGAGACTCTTCTAGTCCAGCATTCTGTTCCTAAAGCAAGCAACCAGGGGGCCAGTGGAAGCCTAAATAAGGATGTTAGAACCTGTAGATACATGAGAATCTCTCACAGTTCTTCTTAGAGAATTTAAAACACATTAACCAAAATTCTGTTGTGCAGCAGTACAAATAGCATATAATGTTTGGAGCCAAATAGCCAGAAGTATTGAAATAACTGTAGACTCTTTTAGTTGCACACCGAATTATACGGCTCAGTAAGCAACTGGTAATGTTTACAATAAATGATTTTCTAAATTAGGGCAATTTGTGTCCAAAGGTTGTGCCTCTTGTGCTATGCCAGCATAATTAGCTAAGAGGATATGAGCCATTTTGTATTGCATGATAGTTAATTGGTTAATGATAATTTGAGTTATGTATTAATTAGTTAATGACAATTTAAAATAACTGTTCTTTATTTTTGAGTGGTTTATTTAAAGAAAGGTAAAAAAAACAAAATAGCATATCCATCTTGTAAATAATAATTATTAACACTTAATATTTTTACCCTGAGATGTTTGGGTTTTTTAAAAGAAAGTAATATGGCAGATTGTGGCTTCATTTGAAGTTGATGTCATGTTAGCAAAGCGTTGGTGGTTTGGCTCATTTTAAGGCAGCTTCAGATGTCCCTCTGCAGTCTATTGGTGATGCATTTGAGGTACGTTTCAGTGGCCAGAGGAGGGCAATCTTTGTGACATCCTTTTGGCAAAAATTCTATAATGAGAATCCTGTCAGAAATGTGGAGCATAAAAACTCTACGACTGAGATGCCCTGTATTTGCCCTAGCGAGCTCCAGCCTGCAAATTGGAGATTGCCTAGTTGAAAACATTAAGAATGGTCACCTTCACTTGTACAAGGACTTGGTGGATTCCCCCATCACAAATGGTAGGAAAGTAGGAATTGGGCATGGGATGGACCATTCCGCCTGTGGTGCTATTTGAGTGTTGCCCTGAGAAAAGGATGGAGTGTGGACTAGATCTGGGGACAACATACACGCCCCATTTATCATTTTGTGTGTCACGTAGCAATCAAATCACATTATGAAAAGAAAAAAAACATTCAGTAAATATATAGCAGTACCCTGATCATAGGATTTGAGGTTTATAGTTATAATATTTCAGAATATATTTCCCTTGAATTTCAGCTTTCAGTAATTAAATAGAATTGCTTATTTTCCACCAATGTTTAAAGATAATTGTGGTTTTCCCCCCCCTTAATATTGATTTTTTTTCACCACCAGGAAGTTGGCAGGATGCACTCTCTTTATCACGGGTGCAAGCCGTGGCATTGGAAAAGCAATTGCCTTGAAAGCAGCAAAGGATGGGGCAAACATTGTGATAGCTGCCAAGACCGGAGTGCCTCATCGCACACTCCCAGGAACCATCTACACGGCTGCAGAAGAAAGTAAGGCTTGAGAAAGCTGTAGAGTTGATAGTTGCTGCTTGTAACCTCTCAAATTGTTTAAAGCTTGGTTCTGTGACTGTCAATATCAAGAGGAACAACGTATCAGTGTTCAGACAGTTCATCCGCAGTCTTTCCACATACAAGGGTTTTCATTCATGCATGCAGAATTCTTATTTCTACTCTACTACTTAAACGAACCAAGCCAGTATGGGTGCGTGATGGTGCTGTTTGCTAGGGAATATTCTAGAAATTGACAGAAGAGAATCACTGAATTTTCTTTGGTTTTAGAATGGTGTTTTTAAGGGTCTTAATATTGTTTGCCACATGTTCATTTCTCTAACTGTGGTATAGAGCAGTGGTTCCCAATCTTGAGTCACCCCGGTGTTCTTGGACTCCAATTCTCAGAAGCCTTCACTTACCAGGGTTTCTGGGAGTTGCAGTCCAAAAACATCTGGGTGACCCAAGGTTGGGAACTACTGACATACAGGAATGTGTAGCCCTTCAATTGTTAGTGGGTTGCAACTCCTGTCCCTTTTTATAGCCGTGGTAACTAGAGTTGATAGTAGTTGCAGTCAAACAACGTTTGCTCACATGTTCACCATCTCTATGTTAGGGCACAGAGTTAAAGGTTGAGCCAAGATAACTGCTGCTCTTGGATATGAGAGGAAAGTGGAACAGTAGTGATAAATATGGAAGAATACAGTCAGGAGCATGTATGAAAAACATACACATATCCCTTGTGGACTGTTTGAGAGTCCTCAAGGGTTACAGCCATTAACCATTGTCTCACATGTGTATTTTCCTTTCTCATATCTTGTACACGCAAGATAACTGCTGCTCTTGGATGTGAGAGGAAAGTGGAACAATAGTGATAAATATGAAAGAATACAGTCAGGAGCATGTAGGAAACACATACAGTACATGTCCCTTGTGGACTGTTTGAAAGTCCTCAAAGGTTACAGCCATTAACCATTGTTTCACACGTGTATTTTCCTTTCTCATATCTTGTACACTGTCCTAATTATGTGCTGATTTTCTTCTTTTCAGTTGAAGCAGCAGGTGGAAAGGCCTTGCCATGTATTGTCAATGTGATTGAAGAAGATCAAATTATTGCTGCTGTGGACCAGGCTGTTCAGAAGTTTGGAGGTAATGACTTTAAGTCGGATGTTAAGTTTATTCATGTTCAATAGCATAGATTTAACATCCTTTTTTAACTACTTGAAGCAAAGCAGTAAGTTAAATTGGAGAGAGACTAGTGTATTGTTCAAAATAATGGCTTTTATGTTCTTAAAATGGCTTGTTTTTTTAAAACCAGGGATAGATATCCTTGTGAATAATGCAAGTGCTATCTCTTTGACTGGCACGCTGGAAACACCTATGAAAAAAGTGGACCTTATGATGAGTGCAAACACAAGAGGAACCTACCTCACGTAAGTAGTTACGACTCCGAGTCATATTTTGGGGAGAATAATGAGAAGTTCAGAAACACGTTTTTCATCTGTTAGGATGAAATGGGGGGCAACTTGAATAAAATATAGTTGCTTTTGAGCCTGGATATTTGGGAGTCTGTTCCACCTTTTGAACAGTTTCTGAACTTAATAATGATCTAGCCAGATTTGGGGCCGAGGGGGGATGGGCAGAACCTGCCCCTTTCCTTCAGCTACAACAACTGAAACAAAAGCTTGAGCATCTTGTACTAGTCTTGTATGATGCATATTTTTTTTAAAAAAACTATTGCCATAAATCAAGTTAACACAGGTCTGGTCTGCTGGAAATAGCACACAGTTAATGTTCCTCTGACGTATGTGACTTTCCAACATGAAATATTTTATTTTTATTTGCCTGAGAAGAATAGTGGCTTCCAGTATGTGGCGGATTTGTTTGGTATTTAATTAGTAATGTGACATTTGTCATGATTTTTGTAAATTTTTGTTTTCATGAAAAAAATTGTTTAAGAGCAAAAGCAGAACAACACAGATACAGTTCCCTTCAGTATCCTTGAGAATATAAATAGTCTGTGGCCCCACCTGTCTCTCCTCAAAGCTAGTTCCTAACACTGTGTTGCAGTCTAAGCGAGGAAGAAATAGAATTCTGGTTGCAGCTGTGCATGTAGGATCTGGTTTGATTTTCAGTAGCTGGGATTATTACCTGTTGAAATAATTAGCTATTGTAAAGCAAAATGGCAGTTTGAATTTCCAACAGTAAATTACAGTAAAGGTAAAGGTTCCCCTTGACATTTTTAGTCCAGTCGTGTCCGACTCTAGGGGGCGGTGCTCATCCCGTTTTTCAAGCCGTAGAGCCAGCGCTTGTCCGAAGACAGTTTCTGTTGTCACGTGGCCAGCATGACTAGGGAACACCGTTTTACCTCCCCACTTCTGGTGGTACCTATTTATCTACTTGCATTTACATGCTTTTGAACTGCTAGGTTGGCGAGGTGCTGGGACAAAATGATGGGAGCTCACTCTGTCTAGTGGATTCGATCTTACAACTGCTTGTCTTCTCATCCTGCAGCACAGGCTTCTGTGGTTTAGCCCACAGTGCCACAGTACAACCCCCTTATCCATGGGATCAGTATCCACTGATTCACTTATTGTGATTGTTGTTGCCCTTAGCTGGTAGAATAGGTGCTGTGACAGCATACAGTGCCAAATCAGGCAGGATACAAGGATTTCATATCAGTTTTTCAACTACTAATATAATTGCTCTCTTTTTTTTTTAATCAACTTGTATTTGCTGCAAAGCTACTAGGTTTTTAAAATTACTGTAAATAGCAAATATACTGTAAAGAAATGCTTGGGAAAAGTAGGCCTTTGTTTCAGGATGTGAAGACTAAAATATAAAAAATGGCAGCCACTGAACTGGAGAATATACATGCCCTGTCCATTATATATACAGTGGTGTCTCGCTTGACGATGACAATCCATTCTGTTGAAATCACTGTTAAGCGAAATCGTCATCAAGCAAATTTAAAAAACCCATTGAAATGCATTGAAAACCATTCAATGCATTCCAGTGGGCTAAATACCTGCTCGTTTTGCGAAGATCCTCCATAGGGAGGCCATTTTCCAGTGCCTGTAAAGCGAGGAATCTGTCCTAAAGTACAGCGGGGAGCCATTTTGCACAGTGGGCGGCCATTTTAGAGCCAACAATCAGCTGTTTTAGAATCATCTTCTAGCGAAAAATTGGTTCCCGAAGCAGGGAACCTATCATCGTCAAGCGAATTTTCCCTATCTAAGCATCGTTTTGTGATCGCAAAAACCTCATCATAAAGCAGATTCGTCATTTAATGAGGTAATCGTTGAGCGAGGCACCACTGTACCTTTAATGATTAATACCAGGATCTTGAGCTGAGCCTGGAAACAGTGTTACTGAACTAGTACTGAAATAGCATAATTTGTACAGCAAGACTTATTGTGATACTGGCTGCTCCATTTGACGCTAGCTAGCTGCTGTATAAAGCCAATCTCATATAGAAAAATTATAACAATCCATCTTGAATGTTGCCATACCATGAATGATTTTTCTTGGTAACCGCATAACTAAAAGGCATCCTGATCACCACCATACAATCTGCTTATTCAAAATCAGCCTATGAGCCAAAAGCAGGATTATATGTTTTCATTGTTGTATAAATTGCTAAATAATAGTACAGTATAATTATTTAATAGTTTGTTATTGTTTTTGAATTTTTCTGCATTTAATTGCATTTATAAACATTGGTAGTCCTTGTCGGGCAGCTGCCAAGAAGTGATCTTCCACACCTCCTGCACATTGAGAACAAAGTATTTTCTTCTTTATTAAACTAAAATCATTTGAGAATTTGGCTATTGCTGAGGAACAACCGATCTGGCAGTGTACAAACTGCAGATTTTACAAGGTGATTTCGGGTGGGCTTAATCACTTTCCATGAATGTTGTGTGAAAATGGAGGTTGTCCTTCATGGTGGCTTACACGGATGTCTTGTTCTGTGCCTGTGCAGAATTGTTTAAGCCCATCTGATACAAAACAGTGGCTTTTGGAGGAACTCTGTCCCTCATCACAGCACGTGGCTTCCTTTCCATTCCTTTCCATCCACTACAGCAGGACATATGGACCATTGCCTTTTGGGGGCCAGACTGTGGAAAGAGAGGAATGTTTCCTCCTCCTCCTTTCTGTTTTTCCCTATTTCTTCTATTTCTATCTTCCTTGCCCTTCTAAACCATTTTGGGTTTCTTTCTTCCTTTTGACTTTTATTATTTATGCCATTTCTGGTGGTTGTGATTAGCTATCACTATTGATGTGCTTAAGCTGAGTCCCCCACCACCACCACCACCATGAATTTTACAGTGTTCTTTTGTGAGAGTTTTCTCTGGAAAATAAATGTTTACCAGGTCTCTAGAGAGTCTTCTGAAGTTTGAAATAATTCATTTAGATCAGCCATTAGCAAATTCTTTCATCTTATTACTCTTTACCCCACAGCTCTGTTTGAAGCCTTGTTATTAAGAGCTTCAAACTTTGGGCTTAAAATTGGTTAAACTTGTTTGTACAGAATGGCTAGAGGCTCAGAAAGGATATATATATATATCCGTCCTGAGCCTCTGGATGATCTGCTCAAACAAAGTTAACCAATTCAGGCCTGGAATTCAAAGATTTATATATTCATATACATGTTCATGTCTGAGTGTGTGTGTCTTTAAGAACCTGTTCAACTTGTGAATGATATACCTCATCACAGTTATTAAATACAGTACACATTTCTGAAATTCTTTGATGCTCTTCAGTAATCAGTGGATATTTACAATATGATCTTGAGTGCCTCTTCCTTTTCAGAATCTAGCTTGAACACCAAGTATTTCATGATCCATATAAGATAAAACCTTTGTTGCAACACCTTGGGAAATTAGAGCAATGTTCCTGTAGTTACTGTACTCCTTGGCATATCCGTTCTTGAGGATTGAAATGTAGATAGAATGTTTTCAATCTGTGGTCCATTTTATTTTCCATATTCTGTGGCATATTGTTATGATTTTTTGACAAATTCAGTCTCTGTGGCTTAATATTATAGTTCTATTGGTATTCCTTCTACCCTAGTGATTAATTTTTTCCTAGTGCTTCCAGAGCAGCTTTCATTTCACTTTCTAGAAATGCAGGTTCTTTGTCATGGTGTTCCCTTTCAAAGGAGTCTCATCCCTTTATCTCTTCTGTATAGATATTCAGTATATTGCTTCCACCTTCTCTTTATTTTCTCCTAATCAGATCTTATGCTTTCCTGTTGGTCATTCAGTACTCCTTTGATTTCTTGGATCTGTTGGAACTTGTTTTTCCCCTTTTGTTATCATTGATTTGTTTGCACTGGTTACTGTAACAGTTCTCTTTGCCTCTATGTGATAGTTGCTGAAAAATTGCATTTAGGTTTGTGACTATTTCTGCTACTTTTTACTTTTGCTTCTTAGCTATCTTTTACAATTTTAAGTGTTTCTTCCATCATCCATCTAGGTTTTTCTTTTCTTTTTATCCCTTCACCACACAGGCATCACATATTTATACAGTACAGCCCCTCCTCCTGATGTCCCGCCTTCCACTCCCCATAGGATGGAACTTTCCCTCCAAACCCATGACAGACAGGTAACATCAGTGCTGTTATGTAACACCTCCCCTCTTTAAAAGTTGTTTTGTAGGGGGAAAGCTAAAAGTGCTTTTCACCAAAAAAACAACCTGCATAAAATACACAACAACATTTATACATACCATATAATACTTACATATACTTACACTCCAAGTTAAACATAGCAAATAGGCATTTCAAACATTTACCATATGCATTACATCAATTTTACCTTTATTAATACAAACCAATTTAAAACCAGGTACATTTTAACTTTTTGTCTTCATTATATACATATAGTCCATGTTCTTTCGCCGTCTTCAATCTTCAGGTCTTCTTGATAAGGCGTCAGCAACACAGTTCACTGACCCTCTGACCACCTTCACTTCAAAGTCATAGTCCTGTAAGTTCAAAGCCCACCTCATAAGTTTGCTATTGTGGGTTTTCATCGTCTTTAACCATTGCAATGGTGAATGGTCAGTACACAGAACAAAATGTCTTCCCCAGATGTAAGGCTTGGCCTTCTGGATCGCGTAGACTATGGCCAAACACTCCTTCTCCACGGTTGACAAATGTCTCTCACCTTTTTGAAGTTTCCTACTCAGGTAGGACACTGGATGCTGGTCACCATTCTCATCCTCCTGGCACAGAACTGCTCCTACCCCGCTGTTAGACGCATCGGTGTAGATGATGAACTCCCGGTCGAAGTCTGGAGCACGCAGGACAGGATAGTTGATTAACGCCTCCTTCAACCTCTGGAACGCCGCCTCACAGTCGCTGGTCCACGGGATGCGGTCATCAGCCTTCTTCCTCGTCAGATCGGTCAGCGGAGCCGCAATCTCGCTA